GCAGCCATTTGGGAGGTGAACCAATGGAAGGAAGACCTTTCTCTCTGTCTCTCTCACTGTCTAACTCTATCTGTTAAATAAATTTTAAAAAAAGGTAGATTGTGATGAGTTACAGATGTATATTATAAACTGCAGAGAAACATCCATGACTAGTAAGCCAGTGGCAGAAACAAAACGAAATGATAAAAAAAAATCCTCCATCCAAAAGAAGACATGAAAAGAGGACAAAGCTCATACCAAAGCTTGAGAATAGTGCTTGAACTTACTTAAGCATTTATGTTGGAAAAGAAGAAAGGTTGAAAACTAATTATTTTTATACTTTAACACTTTACAAAAAAGAGCAAAGTAAACTCAAGAAGGAAGAAGCAAATAATAAAAATAAAAATTAAATAAATTAAATAGGAAACAAACATTTAAAAAAATTATACCACAGACTGGTATTCTGACACTATCAATAAGATTGATAGACTTGTAGTGAGGCCAATCAAGAGAAAAGAGAGAAGATGCAAATGATCAATATTGATAAATGAAAGAGAAGCCACCACTACACAACTTTCAGACACAAAAAGGATCAGCGCGGTGCGCCGGTCCGCAGCGCGCCAGCCGTGGCGGCCATTGGAGGGTGAACCAATGGCAAAGGAAGACCTTTCTCTCTGTCTCTCTCTCTCACTGTCCACTCTGCCTGTCCAAAAAAAAAAATAAATAAATAAAAAATAAAAAATAAAAAAAGGATATTAAGATAATATTTTGAAAAATTTTATGACCATCAATTTGTCAATTTGAAAACTTAGTTGAAATAGATAAATTCCTTGAAAAACACAAACTGCCAAAGCTTACTCAAGAAAAAAATGGATGACCTAAATAGTCCTATATCTATTAAATAAATTAAATTTGTAGAAAAAATATTCCCTTACAAAAAAAAAAAAAGAAAAGAAAAGCCTGGTTTATATAACTTCATTGCTGAATTTTGTTTAACCTATAAGGAAGAAATAATACTAATTTAATACAACTCGTTCAAAAATTTTCTAATATTTCTTAAGGTCAATTTTACCCTGATATTAAAATCAGACAAAGATAATATAAGGAGTGAAAAGATGATGCTTTCTTATAGAAAAAGATACAAAAATATTTAACAAATATTAGCAAATTAAAATCAGCAATATACAAACAGGATATATCAACCAAGTGGAGTTCACTATAAAAGTGCAAGATTGGTTTAACATTTGAAACTCTGGGCTAGCACTGTGACATGATGGGTAAAGCCATCACCCACAGTGCTGGCATCCCATATGGGCACCGGTTTTAGTCCCGGCTGCTCCTCTTCCAATCCAGCTCTCAGCTATGGCCTGGGAAGGCAGTGGAAGATGGCCCAGGTCCTTGGGCCCCTGCACCCATGTGGGAGACCTGGAGGAGGCTCCTGGTTCCTGGCTTCAGACTGGCACAGCCCTGGCTGTTGCGGCCAATTGGGGAGTGAATCAGTGGATGGAGGACCTCTCTCTCTCTCTCTCTCTCTCTCTCTCTGTTTCTCTGCCTCTCCTTCTCTCTCAGTGTAACTCTGACTTTCAAATAAATAAATAAATCTTTAAAAAATAACATTTGAAACTCAATGTGATTTATGACTTTATAGAAAAAAGTAGGAAAACAGTGTGATCCTAACAGTATGTTCATAATAGGCATTTGACCACATCCATCATCTATTCATAATAAAAACTCAAGAACACTAGGAGTAGAAGGACATTTCCTCAGTGTGATTAAGGGCGTCTATGAAAAGCCTGTATCTACCTATTGTAGATAATGCTAGAGACAGAAAACTTTTCTTGTAAATTAGGACTAAGGCAAGGATGTCTCCTTTTTTTAAAAAAAAAAATTTTTTTAAAGATTTACTTGAAAGGCAGAGTTAGAGAGGTAGAGACAGAGAGAGATCTTCCACCCACTGGTTCACTTCCCAAATGGCTGCATCAGCAGGAGCTGCAAAGCCAGGAGCCAGGAGCTTCCTTCAGGTTTCCTGTGTGGGTGCAGGGGCCCAAGGACTTGGGCCATCTTCCACTGCTTTCCCAGGCCATAGCAGAGAGCTGGATGGGAAGCAGAGCAGCTGGGGCTCGAACCAGCGCCCATATGAGATTCTGACACTGCAGGTCAGAGCTTTAACCCACTGTGCCAAAGCGCTGACTCTGCAAGGATATCTTCTTTCACAACTCTGTTCAACATTATACTGAGGTCCTAGTTAGTATCATGAGCTGAAATACCAAACAAAATCAAACCAAACAATCAAAAACAAGAACCACACGGCTAGATATGAAGAAGTAAAGCTTTCTTTCTTTACAGATGATACGATTATGTAAATGAAAACCCCTAAGGGATCAACAAAAGAACTATTCAAACTAGTATATCAATTTAGCGAAGTCACAATAAAAAAGGTCAATATAAAACACTGTATTTTAGGAATGAACAATTGGAAAAAAGAATTTAAAAAACAATGCCATTTACAATAACAAAATGTGGAATATTTATAGATAAGTTTCACAAATTATGTGTAAAATCTGTGCACTAAAGCTACAAAATATTGCTGAGAGACCAAAATAAGACTTAAATAAATGAAGATATTTATCATGTTCATAGATTGAAAGACAAGGTTGTTAAGATAATCATTATTCATGCTTACAAGTGCTTTTTCCTTTTTTTCCTTTGGTAGAAATTGACAAGTCAAGCCTGAAATACATACAGGAATGCAAAGAATTTAAAATAGTCAAGAAGGTTTTGAAAAATAAGGGTGAAGCTGGAAGTTCCTCACTATTTGAGTCCAAGATTTAATAGAATGTGACAGTAACCAAGATGTGAACAAAGTGTAGGATCAGACCATGTGGAAATCTCGTGAGAAAATAATTCAAGCAGGGAAAAGAGAAAGTGCAAACGACCCGAGGTGGGAGAAAGTTTGTTAGTGAGATCCCAGTGAGGCTGTGGCCAAATGCAGAGAGCAGCAGGAGATGATGTCTGGCAGATAATAGAGGCCAGATAACTGCTGCGGAGGCTGTCTTACCCCAAACGAGTCAGGAAACTGTATGTATTTATTTGTTTCACAGTGAGATAGAGATAGAGAAAGACATAGAGATGCAGATGATTCACTGCACAAATGTCCTCAACAGCTGGGCTTGGGGAGGAGCTGGGAAATCAGTTCAGGTCTTCCAAGTGGATGGCAGGGACCCGACTGCTTGAGCCACCATCTGCTGCCTCCCAGGGTCTGCACTGGCAGGAAGCTGGAATCAGGAGCAAGAACCTGGAATCAAATCCAAGCATTCTGATATGGGATATGGACACCTTAACTGCTAGGCTAAATGCCAGCCCCACTATTACAGCTTTGATAAGAGGAATCTATTATCCCTCTTGATGTTTTAACAGGATCACTCTGGTTGCCATGTTTGCATAGAGTGAAGGTGAGCAAGGGCAGATGCAGGGAAATCAATTTAGAGGCTACTGTAATAATCACAGGTGACAGTGATTTGGTTTAAGGTGCAGGAGGTGCAAACTGGTTGTTTATGAGAGTGGAGCTGATTGAATTTGCTGATGAAATGGTTATGGGGTATGAAAGAAGGAAAGAAATAAATGAAGGAAGGAAGGAGAAAAGGATGAAGAAATGGATAAATAAAGAAAGAAAGAGAAAGAAAGAAAAAGGAAAAATGGAGACATCAAGCTCTGGACAACTGGAACACAGAGTTGTGAATTATTAGATGAGGAAGACAGCAGACGTCATTTTGTAAGGGGCATATCAAGTGTTTTGTTGTATATTTGTTCAGTTTTAGATGTCTGTTGGACATCCACATGGATCTATAAAGTAGTGAGGGATATGAATCTAAAGTTCAGGGCAAGGTCTAGATTTAAAGCCACGAGACTTGATTAGATTAGTAATGGGATGAGTAGAAGGGCAAGAGTCACAAGAACTGAACTCTGAGGACCTCCAACCCCCCGCTGGGTGGAGATGGGAGAAATTATCAGACAAGTAGGAGGGAAAGCATTGCTATGAACAAAGGTGTATAGGAACAGAGTCTACTGAAGGTGTTAACAATAAGGGCTTGGGGAGCCATGAGTGAATGTCATACTAAGAGCATCACTGAAGTCTTTCTAAAAAGACAATGTCATGGTCAGCTTCACAACTCAGAAGGATTGCTTTGTTAGCTTTGAGGGGATGAGATGGAGGTGAACCTATGGGCAGGAAGACAAGCAAAGGGGCAAGAGTAAGCAGATTGGAACAGGACCAATGGTCTCCTGATATGGGATGTCCTTTTTCCAGCCTGGAGGGTCAAGGTTGCTGGAGATTTGTCGAGGACCACCCACCCCTTCCTGGGCCTTTTCATTGTGGCCTGAACCTTGTGAAGAGAATGACTTGGGCTTCTGTCCATGGTGCTGATGTGTAAGTCTCTGTGTCCACCTCTAGAAGGCACACCTGTGTTCCCATTTCAGATCCCAGGACTGGCACAAAACAAACAAGCCCAGCATTGGCAGGAAGCTGCCTGAGTGGAGTGGGACTCAAACCCAGGCACTCTGAAATGGGACGAGGGCATCCCAAGTGGCAGCTTAACCAGTATCCTAAACACTTGCCCCAAATCTTTATTTCCCAAATCTTTATTTTTATTTCCCAAAATCTTCTGTATTCATAAGACGAGGTTAAGCCAATGGTTTCATTTTCTGTGAAGTGTTTAACCATGATTTTTGTTTATTTTTCCTTCTTTGATTGATTTGAGACTTTTTTTTACAGATTCTAGATATAAACTATTTGTTGTTTCTCTTTTGTAACTATTTTCCCCCAGTTTGATTTTATCAACAAAAGTAGTTATTTTAAATATATATTAATTTGTTAATTGTTTATGATTAACTCCTTTTCATGTAAATTGTTTAAGAAATTGTTTACTAGGTCAATGTTACAAAGTTATTAATATACTCTTTAAAATTTTTATTATAAAAGGAAACAATTTTCATATGTGCAGCTTTTTTTTGACTCACAAAAGTTTATTTAACAAAAAATTTAATATGAAAATGTACATGACCCAACTTTTACATCATAGTAAAACAGGTCCTTTGGAGAGGGAACATGGGTTTTGAACAGTCATACTTGTTCCAAGGCTTCTAACATGATGATACTATTTCCTCGTATTACCACCATTCCAATATTGTTCTGTTGTCCACTATTTGCCATCTCCACACATTCATCTATCACGAGGTTAATAAAGGGATCAAATCCCCGTAGGATTCCCTGGACATGTCTGCCACCATTTAATTTCAATGACAACTTCTTGTCCATAAACTTTTTCAGCTCGGGAGGGTGAGCTTTGCTCATGGTGTCTGCTCCAAGCGCTGAGAGATTCCTTGAAACGGAATTCGCAGCCTCCTTCACGCTCCCGCCCATATGTGCAGCTTTTAAAAATTTATTTATTTATTTATTTTTTTGACAGGCAGAGTGGTGAGAGAGAGAGAGAGACAGAGAGAAAGGTATTCCTTTGCCATTGGTTCACCCTCCAATGGCTGCCGCGGCCGGCTTGCTGTGACTGGCGCACCGCGCTGATCCGATGGCAGGAGCCAGGTGCTTCTCCTGGTCTCCCATGGGGTGCAGGGCCCAAGCACTTGGGCCATCCTCCCCTGCACTCCCTGGCCACAGCAGAGAGCTGGCCTGGAAGAGGGGCAACCGGGACAGAATCCGGCGCCCCAACCGGGACTAGAACCTGGGGTGCCGGCGCCGCAGGCGGAGGATTAACCTAGTGAGCCGTGGCGCTGGCCCGCATACATATATTTTTGTTTATTTTGTATATTAGTTATATTAGTATATTAGTTATATATTGTACATATATATTTTGTATATTAGTTACCACAAACAAGGGAAAAATATAGTATTTGCCTTTTTGGGACTGGCTTATTTCACTAAGATTATATCATTATAGGTCTCCATTTGCATCCATTTTGTTGCAAAAGACAGGATTTCATTCTGTTTTTCTGGCTGAGTACTATTCCATCGTGTATATATATCATAGTTTCTTTTTCTTTTTAAAGATTTATTTACTTTATTCGAAAGATTTACAGACAGACAGGAAGGGAGGGAGGGAGAGAGGAAGGGGGGGAAGAGAAGAGAAGAGAGAGAGAGAGAGAGAGAGAGAGAGATTCCATTTACTGGCTCACTCCCCAAAAGGCCACAATGGTAGGGGATGGGCCAGGCCAAAGCCAGGAGCCCAGAGTGTCTTCTGAGTCTCCTGTGTTGTGTAGGAGCCCAAGCACTTGGGCCATTTTCTGTTGCTTTCCTAGGAGCATTAGCAGGGAGCTGTATTGGAAGTGGAGCAACTGGACTAGAACCGGCTCCAACATGGGATACCAGCATTGCAGGCCACAGCTTTACCCACTACGCCACGACACTGACCCCACTTCCTCTCTTTTCTTCTGTTATTTTTCCATGTTCAAAATCACTACATCTTTTCTCCATTCATCCATCTTGAGTACTCAAGAGCTTTCTCTTAATATTAACACACTTCTTAAACTAAAAGCTTTGAAGTTTTATTTTTAATTTTGGTCCTTATTCCATCTTGATTGAGTTTTTTTTTGTGAAAATATAGGGACCTAATTTCATTTCTTTTCTTTCTGTTGTATTCTGTAATAGATCTTCTGTTTTGAGGTTGTCTATTCTAATCCACATTGGCCAGTTTATACCATTATACTGCCATTTAAAAATATTTATTTATTTGAAAGGCAGAGCTACAGAGAAGCAGAGGCAGAAAGGGGGGGGGGGAAGAAGTCTTCCATCCACTGATTCACTCCCCTAATGGTCACAATGGCTGAAGCTGAGCTGATCCAAAACCAGGAGCCAGGAACTTCTAGGTCTCCCACACGGTGCAGGGGCCCAAGGACTTGGGCCATCTTCTACTGCTTTTCCAGGCCATAGCAGAGAGCTGGATCAGAAGTGGAGCAGCCGGGTGTTGAACTGGTGCTCAAATGGGATTCTGGTACTGCAGGTGGTGGCTTTGGCGCCAGCCCTGTGTATCAATTCTAAGTGCACATAATTGATAGTAGATTGGTGGCTTGATTAAAGAGTTGTTATAATTATTTGAACATAGGTCTTATACAATCTTGTATTGCATTTATGTCTATATATACAGATGGCTCCCAACTTCAACTTGGGATTTTTGACTTTACCATGCAGCAAAAGCAATAAGAATTCAGTAGAAATTGTTCATTAAATTTTGAAGTTTGATCTCTCCTTGGGTTAATCACATGCCCTATGATCTTCTCCAGTGATGTTGGGCAGGTGTCGCTCCCCCTCTTCATGGAGGAACGACACTAAACGCTGCCTAGGCTTCATATCCGAGTCACGGCACCATTATGTCGCTCCCCCTCTTCGCGGAGGAACGACACAGGACCCTGCGCTGTTCTTTTGCCTGCTCGGCCCTTCCCGGGTTTGCTGCTGGTTCTTCCCGGGTTGGCTACCGTCCCTTCCACCTCCGTGGAAGGGCGGTTCCCCCTGCCACTTTCCCCACTTCCACGGGGGAGCAGCACACCGCCGGCCAGCTCTCTCGGGGGCTGCACAGGTGTTCCTTCAGATAGATGTTCTTGGTGCATGTTGTCTCTCTCCTCCTTTATAGTCCTCTTCCACCAATCCCAACTCTGCTACCCACACGCCGAGTATGCTGCTCTCCTCCAATCAGGAGCAGGATCAGCTCCTGCAGGTCATCACTCAAGTTGGCGAGAGGCAGCTGCGTAGAAGTTGTTACTCCCTCCTCAGCGCCATATTGTGGGAGAGCAGATGCATAGAATAAGTCTTAATTCCAGTAACAGTCTAGTCCGAGTTGCTCCCCACAGGCAGGAGTGGTGAGCCTGGCACACAGTCTGCCATACTATCAGGGGTAGAACAACTGATACTCTCCAGTGTGCAGTGTTGCTAAGCTGTGGCCTTTGAAAGATTAGGTGTATTAAATGCATTTGACTTCCAGTGAGTTTCTCAGGACACAAACCCATTTTAAGTGAAGGAGCACTGTAATTTTGTTGCTATTAAAGGTGACATATTTTAAAACATTATTTGAAAGAGAGAAAGAGAGGGAGGGAGGGAGGGAGAAAAGGAGGGAGAGAGAGAGAGAGAGAGAAAGAGAGAGAGAGAGAGCACACGTTTAATCTCCAAATGCCTGCAACAGCCAGAATTAGGCCAGGCCAAAGCTTGGAACCACTAACTAAATCTAGGTCTCCCCTATGGGTGGTAGGGACCCACCGACTTGCGCTATCACTACTGTTTCCCAGGGTACACATTAGCAGGAAACTGGAATGAAGAGTGCAGCCAGGACTCAAACCCAAACACTTGACAGGGGATGCAGGAATTCCAAGCAACATCTTAACTGCTGTGCCAAATGCCTGCCCCTAGGTGACATCTTTTAAATATTGTTGTCTGTGAAAATATTTTGTTGTTGATATATAGAAACATAATGACTTTTGGGTCATGATCTTCCATCTAATTGCCTTGCCATACTCTCCAAATAATTCTAACAATTTGCCCATGGATTTTGTTTTGTTTTGTTTCATTTTATGCAATCATATTAGGTGCACAAAATTATAGTTTTATTTCTTCCTTTCCAATCACTTCTGCCTGAAAGTCTTTTTCACCTACTTGGGCTAAGATTTCTCCTTTGTGTTCTCTAAGTCCCTATGTGACCCTTAAGCATAGTTCTGATGGTACTGGATTATTATTGCCTGATCACTTGTCTATCTACTAACCTGAGGATTCTTTGAGGATGTAGAATAATTGGTCTTCAGATCCATGATGCTCAATAAGTCTTGAACCTACAGTGAGTGTTTGGGAGTGATAGTAATCATTTATTGCACACTGTGCCATGTATTTTACATAAATAACTTCATTTAGTCCTCCTACCAATACCATTAGATGATGTGATTATCTCTTTTTTTTAAATGACCAAGCTGAGACTCAGAGAAGTTAAGGGACTTAACAAAGGTCACATGGTTAGAAGGAGGCTGACCTTGAGTTTGAACTTGGATGTAACTCCTAACACTTTTCTCTTAATCCCCATTCTTTATGGCTTTCCCAGGGAATTACTGAGTGAATGGGAAGGAGGAAGGATAGGGTGCCTCCTTCAGTCTCTAGGGGGTTTAGGAAGATTCCTTGGGGTCCCCCTTTCCCTGAAGCTACTGGTTCTGGTTGCCTCAGGAGAATCTAGTGGTGTCCCTGCTGACATGGGGAGGCCCATTTTACATTCTGGGACCCCTTCAGCTGTTTTGGGGAACAAGACTATGCTGGAGGTTCAAAGTCTAGCAGGACTGTCACAGGGGCTGCTCTCCTGGGGCAGCTCCTACCAATTCAGGCAATTGGAGAGGTAGGCCAAGACTTTCCCTTGTCCAAGGAGTGGCCAGGCAGCTCTAATTCCTCAGACATCATATGATTGCTGACTAATCCAGCTACAGGCTTGGTAGCCTAATGGCCCTGAGGCCTCAGCCTGGGAATTTATAAGGGGCAGTCCCCAAGGCCAGCCCTTGGCACCTGAACTTAGCCAGATCCAAGATTTAGGGCTCATGTTAGTGAGCCTGGTCTGGAGCCAAAGGTAGTTAGGAGCAGAAGGAAATGTGCCCCTATTTATAGCGACATCTGTCCTACACTGCTGCAGAGTAATGGCTGTATCGTTACATCTCAGATCTAAACTACATACTTCCTGCAATTGCAAGCGAGCCTTATGGTTTGCCTTGAGCTTCCTGAAAGCCAAGGCACAAAGGAAACCACAACAGATATCAGAATTTCATTTCATGAAATCCATTGAGAGCCATAAGATGTAAATAAGAATGCCTTGAATAAGCAGTTCCTTAGTCAAATAAACTTGGCAAGCACTGCCTGTATTGCCCCAGCCCCTACATCCTGTTTGAAGATTCCTCATGGCATTGTATAATGAAGGCTCTGTGACATCTTGTAGCAAAAATCAAAAATTTTTTTCCATCCAGAGTTTCCCCAGTCTAATTGATTGTGGAGCCCCCTTTTCATGGAAAAAGTTATCAACATTTGCAAGAAACCAGCATTTTCTTATTTATATAGTTTTACTTGTCAGACATAAGTATTTTTCCCCTGATCCGAAATTCTAAGGAAGGGCCAAGTGTACTTCTGTTTTCCCACCAGTCTGTCCCTATCTGTCTGTCTGAACCTCTCTTATCCCTGTGATTCCTTGCCCACATTGATGTCTTCAGGAATTTCTGTAAGTCTGGGGGGCTAGCATGATCCCCCTGGTGGAAACCCTCCTGGGATGAGCTAACAAGTTTAGTGTAGTGAAGTCAAAACACAACTTTGGAAGTGCAATCAATGACTGTGAAGCCCATTAGGGGTTGACCCATGCTATCCCGTGAGAAGACGCCATGGTGCAGCAGGTTAAGCCAGTGCTCAGGATG